CTGTTCTAGTATTCATAACAAACAATTATAAATAATAAAATAAATTTTTAGCTTCTTTTTCTTCAAATACGAGACAAAATACTGAAAGAGTGTCATCTTTAATTTTCAATCTTTTTTGCAATACTCGTTATCTTATCTTATTTTTAAAAATTTTAATTAAGCTGAAATAATTAGCGTTCGGATTTACCCCCGTTCGGATTTACCCCGGCTGACCCTAGTTTTAGTAAAAATAAGAAAAATTTCTTATGAATTTTAGAATAGTAATTTTAATTTCTGTTAAAATTGTTTCTACAAAGCTTTGCTACAAATATATTCATTTTTAATAAATAGCCTTAGTTTCCATGACTTGCTAAGAATATACTAATTTTTGTATCATTTTTAACATTATTGCAAAGGATTTTCTTTCCGTGTACCATTGATTGTCAACGTTGTGATCATCCCAAGATTTTACCATTTGCGGTCCAGTATTGGATGTCATCATTGCACCAATATTGGAACGACTGGCTCCCAATGTTGGGCCATTATTAAACCAATAGTTTATTTCCCATTGGGTGCTTTTTTAAAAAGTTATTGTATCGAAAACTGGTTATAACATCTCAGCTTTAATTTAAAAAAATGAAAGTTTTTTTAATCTATACTTCACAATAATTAATGAATATTAATGAAATTTTGTACAAACTTACAGTTTATCAAGTACTTTAACTTGAATGAAGAGAAAAAATAATTTAACTTAACACTTTTGAATAAACTCAAGTGCGCCAAACCCCTGCGCACGTAATATGACGTATTGGGTTAATACTAGCGTAATAGTCACGTATTAGTTGTATTATACGTAATAGGGGTTACTGTGTACACAGAAAAAACCTACTCTCATTTTTGTTGCAACTCAAAAAGAGTCAATGCTAAACGATATAGAAAGTGGCGCCACCAACCTGGCTCTTTTTTGTTGCACATCAAAATGAGCCGCCTACAGGACTCATTTTGAGTTCCGTTTTTTTGTGTACGCTTTTTTTCTTAGTGAAAACCCCCTCGGTTTTTATCACCTGGTTCCACATTATGCGCAGTATAATCATAATTGGTCCATTAATGTGTGAATAAAGGCAACTATCCCGTCTTGCTCCCTATCCCATCTTGCGACCATTCCCAAGTAGAAATGTGCCACTGGCATAGTTTTGACCCAACACTGCCAGTCAGTATAACAGTACTGACTGCCGTACTGGGCCAGTAGTGGGCCAACCCTGGCTGGTAACGCTGTCCAGTACTGATTTTGTCCCGCTCACCAGTACTAACGTAGTACTGGAATAATACTGGCATAATACTGGTAAAGTACTTATCCGGAGTTAAAATCTCATTTTTTTACAAAATACTATATAATACTCTTTCCATTGCAAATTTCATCCTTATAAGCTTATTACTCCCATTTTTACCACGAAAAGGTAATGTGAGGGTAATAATAGTTAATTTAATTTAGAATATATAAACTATTATTAATAATAAATAATTAAAATAATAATTATCATTTTAGTTAATTAAATTATATTATTTTTAATAAATTAATTTACAAAAAATATTTTTGTGTTGTAATTTTTTTTTAATTCATACTATTTAATTTTTTTTACTTTGCACTTATACTTAATTAATTAATTATTTAATAATTAATATTACAGATAAACAAATATTGTACTTATAACACTTAAAACTAAGAATGAAAAATCTCGCACGCATGAGGGATCGAACCCTAAACCCTAAGAACGCAAGTCGGATACGCATACCGCACAGCCGCGCCGGCTTGAAGTGCTGACTTGAAGTAGTTTACCCTAATGCAAAAGTTTTGATTTCGAAGACCGTATTATCTATTGATCACGAAAATAAAATGTATTTATTCTTGAATTTTTTTATCTCACAAAATTTTTAACTAATACAAACAAATATATTTTATATATATATATATATATATATAATAATACATTACAATTACATCAAAAATTTTGAGAGAAAGTATTGGAAAGAAATTAATAAACATATTTTTTAATAAAAAATCATCGTTTTCTACCTATTGGTATAATTTAAAGACTTTTTCATTTAATGTTTTTTTACCACCGACATAGTACTGATTCGGTGTGAATGACAGTGTTCTGCCAGTACTGGTTTTAATATTTGTTTACCTTCGATATAGTACTGATTCGGTGTATTAGTCAGTACACTGCCAGTACTGAAAGTCAATACCGACGGCCAGTATTGGATCAGTACCATACCGGTGTTTAATTACGGCGAGTTACGGACATTTCTACTTGGGTTTCCCCTATGCATAATACAAAATCAGTTATCAATCAAAGTTGACTTTTACTTCTGATATTGAATTCATTTTTGATTCAGATATCTGATGAAAACATAATTTGGGCATTAAAATCAAAATAACTAAATAAACTTTAGATTTGATTCAGGTAAGCGAATTAAAAATAAAGAGTTCAGTTTTGACGTTTCTTAAAAATAACATTTTCGAGGGGGAATTTACTAGTAAAATTTGTGTACACTTGACTACAACTACACATATTACCATTATTACCTTAGTATTACACTTTTTACAAGTATTACATACTACTACCAAAATATTACTGTATTACAAAGAATTACACATATATTATCGAGTATTACCCTTTATTACAAAAAATATTACACGTCAAATAGCACTTTCTTATACGTAGAACTTTTAATAAAATTTCTTAAAATTATTATTTAAGAGCAAAACTATAAAATAAGAAATAGAAAAATAAATAATAATTAAATATTTTTAAATATTTTTTTTTTTTTTTTTTTTTTTTCTGTTTATACTCCTGCCCTATTGGCATATTACGCACTCGACAAGAGTCCCCGAGAAATACTTTTTATGGATGAAGCATAACCATTCTACAAATTTTTGCAAAATTTTTTTTTTAACCTAATGCGCCTACAGTGCGACTTTCGAAGATAGGAGTACTCGCATTTTGCCTGAACCACCCGTCATTGGGTTTTCTCGCCAGAGAAGAGGGAAACTGTAGAAAAACCTCTTCTGAGTACAACCGGTTTATCGACTGTCTAGTTTCGGCGGTATACATCGGACAATTAATCGACAATGCATATCGTTGCACCTAGACATCAAACCTCCCGCTCAGAATAGCTCACGTGTCGGAAAAATCCCCGGCTGATGGGGGGCGGGAACCTCGTTCGCTCAACCCGCAAAGCCTGGAGCACCAACCAACTGAGCTATTCCGTCGGTTATTTTTAAATATTAAGGTAAGTGCATCAATTAAGACGAGAGCATCAATTACGGCGCGTTTATAAAAAATAACTATTATTACTATTATATTTAATATAACTGTTGCAAAATGATTTAAAAAAATTATTTCAATCTTTTTTTGATACAATTACTAATGAAGATGCACATTTAAACAATTATTAATTAAATTATTTGAGATCAAATTTTTTCCCTCGTCGTAATTGAAACATTTTTAATATTTCCATTGGCTCCAATTTCGGCGGGCAAAGTATCTTCAAAATACAAAAAAAAGAAAAAAAAAATGAAACGGAAACAGATACAAACGCGCCGCAATAGAAAATTACGGTATTAGTTTTAATTTCTCATATTTGTTTACCTACTTATAAAAGAAAATAATAAATTTTTCTTTTTTAAAACGTAAATAACAATATTATTTCAAATGTTTTGAAATTTCTTTTAAAGAACACGATAAATATAATCTATTTGTTTTTAACTATGGACGAGGAACTGAACAAATATAATTTTCTATATTATAATATCCGTGAGCATCCATGTTTATATAACGTTTAATATTTGGTTTTTTGCTATCTTAAACCACGAACACAAACAACCTAAGCCTCGTGCATTTTGTTTCGGTGTAATTACAGGAGCAGATGTCTTACTGTACTCGATTTTTTTTACTTATTCCGGTAAGGTAGCTAAAAGATAAAATTCGGCCAATTACTAAAGAACCATTTTCTGATTTGATTCTGTAAACATTCAATGGCAAAGTTGCTATATACTTCAGCATTAACTCCCGCGCTACACTGTTAGAAAAATCTGTATTAGATTTAATATACATGCGTATGAAGCGAATATGCACTACAGGTATTGAAATCTAAGATACATGTATATTAAATTTAAAGTGACAACATGGCGGCTGTAGATGCCTATTTCACCAAACGGTCATTATTTCCTTGATATTGAAAATTTATTTGAAATTGAAACAACAGTGCGTAATTCTTTAACTATTGTGTTGTTTATGTCCAAATAATGTTTTATAAGGGGAAAATTTTTCAAAAAAAACATTCTAAATACAAGAATTTTAATACTTATATGTGACATTTAGGTTAAGTACTATAAATGTCAAATTATATGCATTTTTACAATGTAAATTGATTTAAACTTGTATTTACATGAAAGAAATTACTTTGCTTTATTAATAAAAACCTTATTTTGTACACAAGAACATGTATAAATTGAGTAAAATGCAATTTTTTTATTTGAATTTTTTTCAGTGACAAAATTTAATATACTTTGTATATGAATTACACCATAATACCACAATATTACAAGTATTACATGGTATTACACAATAATACTTATCATTACAAGACATTACAAAATATTACAGGTATTACCGAGTATTATCAGGCAAGTGTACACTTGACTATCAGAGTAAATTCCCCCTCGAACATTTTGATATAAAAAATTACTATTTAAAAGAAAAAAGTTGAGTTTTCAATGAAAATTAGATATGTTTTGTTTACATTTGCCCCACCTGACTATGAGAATAAAATTGAACTTAGCGCATATTTTTAAGGGGTAAACATATTAAGGTATTTGCACACCTCGGCTACCTGCGCAGGTATAGTATTTAACTATTTAGAGTAAGAGAGAGTGAGCGCGCGCGCGGAGGGGAGAGAGAGAATTTGTATTGAATTCTCTCTCTCTCTCTTACTCTAACTTCTGCCTGCACAGGCAGCGGAGGTGTACAAGTGCCTTAAGTTCTTTTATGTAGAAAAGCGCGCGATCTTATGTACACTTTCACGTTCTCCAATGTGAAGTGATCTCGTATTCTCCAGGTAGGGTTAGATTTTCACAAGTAAGATCAGTTCGTGAGCCGGTGCAATGCGTGCGCCAGTCTCTCGCCGGTCTCTGGTGGAGTAGGTTGTAGAAACATATATTAATACCGAAAATAAAATTCTTGCGAGTTATTAGAAATGTGTCTGTTGATAAATGATTTTTAATTGGTGTGTTGCGGGTAAAAATGTCTTTCAAAACATACACCTCAAGTTTGTGTGTCTGGAAATTGAGTAGAAGTAAGGCGCGTTGATTCGAGATTTAAAAATTTCATGCAGACGCGACCACGGCGTTTTACACTGTGCGGTTAGTGCTGTGTGTATACAACCTATATCTCTCTTTCCTCAACAAGTGTTAGTTTCCTTTGATCACCTGTTGCTGCTTATGCGATTCTTGTGTTACATTGGATTACTTGAATACAAATATCTACGGCAGCAGGATGTCATTCTGACACCGTAAGAATTTTCTTTTGGTGTTACTGGATCTACATAAGGTAAACAAAAACTATTTTTCTCTTCATGCATCAGATCAGCAACGTTTTTCCCTATTTGTCAGAATACAAATTACTCTATATCAGTAACGTAACAACTTCATAGCGTTATGACTTCAGCTGGTCCTAAAGTAAAATAACTTTATATTTCTTATTAACAAGATCTCAAAAGTTAATAATGTACAAATTCTACTTTTTATGAACCTTCCAATTTTAAAAAAGTCTGAACATTAATGTTAAATTTCAAGTTAAAATTTTTGTCATTATAAAATTTCATTAAATGAAGTAGAAATTTTAACCCTTAACTTAAAAATTACTATTTAGCAGTATCGGAGAAATTGTATTCACTCAAATTAGAATTACTAGAAATGAAATTTTAATTAAATTAAAATAGAATAAGTGGATACTTATTGTTAGTAAACTAAAAATTTTTTAAATATAAAATTCAGCAAACATGCTTCCAGAATTTATAAATTAATACTAACATTAGAAATTGTACAAAGTTATGATGGAATCGTACACGTCCGTGCAGTAATTTTACAACTTTAAAAGTATAAATAATATTTTTGCCATATGTTTCTGCATTTATCCATAGTTCGTTTGTATATGTAGGGTAAGGTCCTCTTATACCTACTTTTTTTAAATGACCGTAAAAATAAAACGGAAGCAGTTTATGTATTAATTTTTATTGTTAACGTATTTCGCAAGATAATTATATCACAAACAAAAAAAAATAAGAGGATCGATTGAAATTTGTAACAGCTAGAGTGCCCACCGATTTTTCAAATGTAGTTTTGAGAAAAACGTGTTTAAAGTTTTCTTAACAGTTTGGTTCTGATTAACAATGATTAAATTAAAAATTACCTCTAATCAACTACAATGGGTTTATATAGCATATTTATTCTATGCCTAAAAGATGTGCAAAAATTTTTTTTTTTTGATTTTTTAAAAATTTCAAAGTGGCGTGTAACCCCTTAAAAGGTAATATTTGCGGATATATTTTTTAAAGTTGTTATTTACATTCCCAGGATTAATTTTATGCAGCAGAAAAAATTTAGATAAGCTTTAAACGCATGAAACTGACTGTCCCCATTTACCCCAAGATTTAAAAATTTTCATAAAATTTGTAGTAGATATATAGGGGAGGATGGGGCAAGGATAGTTAAGGGGTAAGGATAGTTAGTTGCTGTTATGTTTAGACGGCTTGCTCAAAATTCGCGTCATTCATGGTATATTTGCGTCTTAACACCAATAGATGATAGTAAAAATTGGAAGTCAATCTGCCACCATTTGCGAAGTCAGGAGTTTATTTTTGTAAAAAGTCTGTTTTGCTAAAATGTCAACGTAGTGTTTATCATACTGTTTTCTATATTAGTGCTTCCGAATATATATTTTCGTAAGTGTTTTCCGGAGTGAAATTTCCTGCTGAACACGAATATCGTATTTATTTTCAAATTAATTAACGTCGTTCCTTAAAATTTAGAAAAAACTGAAATATGGGCTCATGGGGCAAGGATAGTTAGGACTATTACGGCTCGATAAAATCCTGCTAATGCGACTGAAAATTATAAAAAAATGTTTAATTGTTCTTTTTATGTTGATATACATAATGGTACGTAATTATATACGAAAAAAGAAGCTTATTGACCAAGAAATTGGTGATCATCTGAAGAAAATTGGTTAAATCTCAGATTTTAGTTCAGACGAATTTTAATGCAATAATTGATATTCAGAAAATGTTCAAAACATGTTGTTAATACTTGATATATCAATATTAAATAGTCTAAATCCAATAAAATAAAGAAACCGAAAATTTACTGATTTTCTATGACAATTTTAGCATTTGGATTCTTTTAACTATCCTTGCCCCGGTACTGGGGCAAGGATAGTTGAAATTTTTTTTTTACTTTTTCATTCGTATCTCGTAGGGATTGCACTCTACAGCAAAATAATGTATAGCAAAATTATAGCCAAATAACCAGGTTTTCTGAAGATACTATTCGATTGCTGATATATATTTAGGTTTGGCCGCTAGATTTGAAAAGGTCTTACCTAACTATCCTTGCCCCATCCTCCCCTAATAGTTGAACAATTTGAAATTTTTTTTTTGTTACAGTATTTAAGTCTTTTATTTCAATGAAAACAGACTTAAAAATCATAAAAAATTTTTTCTTATTCCTTATTACTCCCATAACAGAAATTCACTTGAATTTTTGATTTTTGTTAATTTAGTTAATAATGACGATCTGTCCCTATTTACCCCAAAAATTTGAAAACTCAGGGTAAATAGGGATAAGGAGACAACATACTGAAACAGTTTCATTTTGATTTTCAAGTTTGATATTGTTTGATATTGTGGTTTTAATAAAATATTCGTAAATTTGACTTTATAAAAACATAAAGTTTACAGCATTATGTATAAATGAGAAAACTGTCAAGTTTACTTATTTGAAGTCACTTTTACACAACATTTTTTTATTTTATAAATCAGTTTCATTATATAGTGGTAAATATATTTTCATAAAATATATATATGGGGTAAAATTCCTGTAGCGAACTAAGTGAAAAAAAAGTTGATCGGATCGGGCTGTAACTTGCACATAGTTTAGCCCTAGGGGTGAGTAATTTAACCACGAAGTATTGTTAGGTTTTTTCAAAAACTGTCGAAGTGGGAGGGGGTTGAATTTTTTTGAAAAATTTAAACAGTGAATATTTGAAGACTTGTAACTTTTAAACAGAAAAAAGAAGAAAAATTTGTCCCATATGTTTTTGAAAGGTTTTTTCTTGCTTTTTCAAATAAAATTCAAATTTTGACCCTTTTTTGAAAATTAAACATGCTGAAAAAAATTCCTAACTCCCGTATGCCAGGAATTGACTAATTTGCCTGGTTACGAGAGGAACCCACTGGGCAATTTTGGTCAAAGTTGATTTCGACAATTAGTCGGAATGACTAGGGCAACTTATCACAATAACCAGGTACCTTAGTTACATTGGCTAGAATCACTTTCACTAAATAAACTTTAGCAAAATTGACTAAAGATACATGTCATATTAACCAAACATCTTAGTTAATAAAACTAGCAAACAAGGAGTCAATTCTACTAAATCGACTTTGACAATATTAACCAAGCTATACATAACTGAATTGACTAGGATGTTTGGTTACGCTGACTAGATTTAAAGTTGCTATGGTTAATAGTCATTACACCCAGAGAAAAAATTTATTAGTTTTGAATAAAAACGTATATTTAAATCATTTTTATTTATTTCAAATAAATATTTTATTTAAATTAAATAAATAAATGTTTCTTTGAAATTGTCGTATATGTTTCTTACAAATAAACAATTTTATTAGTACTTTTTAAAAAGGTACATTTGTGGCAAATAAATAATATATTTAATTCAAATAAAAGTTTATTCGAGTTGAACGCAAGCATGCGCAGAATACTGTATACGATATAACTTTAAAGATGTCGGACGTAGTGAAAACGAGGTGACAGATTAACGCGACCAAGCAGTTGTTTGTACAAGGATTGATTATTATTTGATTAAAACAAATACTAATTTTAGGATCATTAAAGAAATGTTTTTATTCGCGAGTGTTTATTAATTAAATCACACTTTCCTTTTATTTTGAGTGCCTTTCTCCCTGTTGTGTCTCAAATGTGAAGCAGAATTCAAATCAACTTATCATTGACACAGAGAAATGGAAATTGTTATGTTTCAACAATATCCACGGAACATACAAAAAAATAACCACGAAATGTAAAAATTTAAGATTTTCAATTTTAATCATAAATTGTAATTATATCAATTCCAGAATATTTGGCTGAATACCAGGCAATTTTGCAATTTGTCCTAAATATAAAATATATTTGTAGCAAATAAAAATTTATTTGTCTCAAATTTAAATATAAAAATTTATTTGAGACAATAGTAGGCTCTGAGACAAATATCCATTTTTATTTAAGTCAAATATATTTTATTTAATTCAAATAAAACATTTCTCTGGGTGTACGTATACGATTTTGTATAGGAAACCATATGGCTTCCTATATAGGAGCTTATGTGGGTTCCTATATAGGAGCCTATGTGGGGATTTTCAGTAGGGACGAGCCCTATATGAAGTACTTTGCGTTAATGGATTGTTACTAAACAATTGGCTAACATGGCAATTGTTTATAAAAAAATCTTCTAATCCAAAATAGTCTATATAGGGCTTGTTGGAAGCGGAATAACGTCAGCTTTCAATTGGTACCTTCAGGATTGCAATAACTTTATTTATTTGTGAAATATTTTATTTTTTATTAACATTAATTAATTAATTAAATAATATCTCGAAAATAACAAAATAGGACATCTCAATATTTTTTGTGGTGAAAATACACATTTTTAGCGTTCAAAAAAAAAAATAAATAAAAAAAATAAAAAGGACCAAACTTAAAAAAAAATTCGAAAAAATGTTTAATTTTCAAAAAAGGGTCAAAATTTGAATTTTTTGAAATTTTTTTTGCACCATTTGAAAAAGCAAGAAAAAACCTTTCAAAAACATATGGGACAAATTTTTCTTCTTTTTTCTGTTTAAAAGTTACAAGTCTTCAAATATTCACTGTTTAAATTTTTCAAAAAAATTCAACCCCCTCCCACTTCGACAGTTTTTGAAAAAACCTAACAATACTTCGTGGTTAAATTACTCACCCCTAGGGCTAAACTATGTGCAAGTTACAGCCCGATCCGATCAACTTTTTTTTCACTTAGTTCGCTACAGGAATTTCACCCTATATATATATAAATATACCCAGTGGGAAAATTGCCAAGACTGAATATTGACTAAATATTGGACCAGTTATTTTAGCCAATATTGGACCAAGTCTGCGAGTGTAGAGACCAATGCAGAGGCTCGAATTTCAATATTGGCCATAATTCAAAAATACAAAAAATCGGACTTCAGCCAAGATTAAAAAAATTAATTATTAAAAATGAAATATAATAAAATTTTTTTG